TGGGGTCACAATCTTACACGTGAAAGTGTTTGTGTGTATGTCTATGTCTGTATACATATATATACACACACATAGATAAAGTAAAGGTGAAAGCACTGAGACCAAAGTTAGTTGGGTCTCTCTTTAGAGAGGAAAAGCAGCTAAGAATACATGTAATACCGTATTACTTCAATTCCGAGATGCATCCCTACTCTATCTATCTATTTATATTTATATTTATATTTATATTGTATGGGGTTGGACTAGATGGCCTTTGGGGGTCTCCGCCAAGCCTATGGCATATCCATCTCATTCTCTCTCATATATACCTACCTCTACCTCTACCTCTACCTTCCTCTATCTCTCTCTCTCATCTCTCTCTCTACCTCTCTATCTCTACCTCTATATCTCTCTATCTCTACCTCTACCTCTCTCTCTCTCTATCTCTCTATCTACCTCTCTACCTCTATATCTCTCTATACCTCTATATCTCTCTACCTCTATATCTCTCTATCTCTACCTCTACCTCTCTCTCTCTCTATCTCTCTATCTACCTCTCTACCTCTATATCTCTCTATACCTCTATATCTCTCTACTTCTCCATCTCTCTATCTCTACCTCTACCTCTATATCTCTCTATCTCTATCTCTACCTCTATCTCTACCTCTCTCTCTCTCTCTATCTCTACCTCTATATCCCTCTCTCTCTACCTCTACCTCTCTCTATCTCTCTATCTCTACCTCTACCTCTATATCTCTCTATCTCTACCTCTACCTCTCTATCTCTCTATCTCTACCTCTATCTCTACCTCTCTCTCTCTCTACCTCTCTATCCCTATCTCTACCTCTACCTCTCTCTATCTCTCTATCTACCTCTCTACCTCTATATCTCTCTATACCTCTATATCTCTCTACTTCTCCATCTCTCTATCTCTACCTCTACCTCTATATCTCTCTATCTCTATCTCTACCTCTATCTCTACCTCTCCTTCTCTCTCTCTCTCTCTACCTCTCTATCTCTACCTCTACCTCTACCTCTCTCTATCTCTCTACCTCTCTATCTCTACTTCTACCTCTATATCTCTCTATCTATCTCTACCTCTACCTCTATATCTCTCTATCTCTACCTCTATCTCTACCTCTATATCTCTCTATCTCTACCTCTACCTCTATATCTCTCTATCTCTATCTCTACCTCTATATCTCTCTATCTCTACCTCTATCTCTACCTCTCTCTCTCTCTATCTCTACCTCTACCTCTCTATCTCTACCTCTACCTCTATATCTCTCTCTCTCTCTACTATTCTCTCTATCTTCTCTCCATTCTCTCTCTCACTTCTCTCTCTCTCTATCTTCTCTCTCTATTCTCTCTATTCTCTCTCACACACTATCTTCTCTCTCTATTATCTCTCCCTATCTTCTCTCTATTCTCTCACCCACTATCTTCTCTCTCTGTTCTCTCTCTCTATCTCTATCTTTTCTCTCTATTCTCTCTCTCTATCTATCTTCACTCTATTCTCTCTCTGTTTCTCTATCTATCTCTATCTTCTCTCTCTATTCTCTCTATCTTCTCTCTATTCTCCCTCTATATCTCTCTACTCTACCTCTACCTCTATATCTCTCTATCTCTATCTCTACCTCTCTATCTCTACCTCTCTCTCTCTCTATCTCTACCTCTACTATATCTCTCTATCTCTACCTCTACCTCTCTATCTCTACCTCTACCTCTATATCTCTCTCTCTCTACCTCTACCTCTCTATCTCTCTATCTCTATCTCTACCTCTCTCTCTCTCTACCTCTCTATCCCTATCTCTACCTCTACCTCTCTCTATCTCTCTATCTATCTCTCTACCTCTCTATCTCTACCTCTACCTCTATATCTCTCTATCTATCTCTACCTCTACATCTCTTTATCTCTATCTCTACCTCTATATTTCTCTATCTATCTCTACCTCTACCTCTATATCTCTCTATCTCTATCTCTACCTCTATATCTCTCTATCTCTATCTCTACCTCTATCTCTACCTCTCCTTCTCTCTCTCTCTCTACCTCTCTATCTCTACCTCTCTCTATCTCTCTATCTCTCTACCTCTCTATCTCTACTTCTACCTCTATATCTCCTATCTATCTCTACCTCTACCTCTATATCTCTATCTCTACCTCTATATCTCTCTATCTCTACCTCTCTCTCTACTTCTCTCTCTCTCTCTCTCTACCTCTCTATCTCTACCTCTACCTCTACCTCTCTCTATCTCTATCTCTCTATCTACCTCTCTACCTCTACCTCCACCTCCACCTCCATCTCCATATAAATAAAAATGCCATGTTCGTTTGTGGGATTAACAGAACTCAAAAACCACTGGACGAATTGACACCAAATTTGGACACAAGACACCTAACAACCCAATTTATTTATTTATTTGTCGTGTCAGTGCAACCAGTCAATTATATTACATTTCTAACAGAACAAAGCAAACAGACAAATACAAAACTTGTGAGTTTGGTAGTTGATTAAATGTCCTTTGACCAGTATCTGGCCACTTGGAGTGCCTCTGGTGTTGCCGCAAGGAGGTCCTCCCTTGTGCATCATGTGGCAGGGCTCAGGGTGCATTGCAGCAGGTGGTCAGTGGTTTGCTCTTCTCCGCACTCGCATGTCAAGGATTCCACTTTGTGGCCACATTTCTGAAGGTTGGCTCTGCATCTCGTGGTGCCAGAGCGCAGTCTGTTCAGCGCCTTCCAAGTCGCCCCGTCTTCTGTGTGCCCAGGGGGGAGTCTCTCCTTTAGTATTAGTTCTGGGTTTGAGCCTGCCACTTTTGGACTCTTGCTTGCTGAGGTGTTCCAGCGAGTGTCTCTGTAGATCTTAGAAAACTATTTCTTGAGTTAAGTCGTTGACGTGCTGGCTGATACCCAAACAGGGGATGAGCTGGAGATGTCTCTGCCTTGGTCCTTTCACTATTGGCTGCCACTTCCCGGCGGATGTCAGGTGGTGCAATACTGGCTAAGCAGTTTCATTTCTCCAGTGGTGTAGGGCGCAGGCACCCCGAGATAATGGGGCATGTCTCATTAAGAGCCACATCCACTGTTTGAGCGTGGTGAGATGTGTTCCACACTGGGCATGCGTACTCAGCAGCAGAGTAGCACAGCGCAAGGGCAGATGTCTTCACTGTGTCTGGTTGTGATCCCCAGGTTGTGCCAGTCAGCTTTCATATGATATTGTTACTAGCACCCACTTTTTGCTTGATGTTCAGGCAGTGCTTCTTGTAGGTCAGAGCACAGTCCAAAGTGACTCCCAGGTATGTGGGTGCGCTGCAATGCTCCAGTGGGATTCCTTCCTTCCCAGGTAATCATCCTCAGAGCTTGGGATGCTTGTCTGTTCTTAAGGTGAAAAGCACATGTCTGTGTTTTAGATGGGTTAGGGATCAGCTGGTTTTCCCTGTAAGAGGCAGTAAGAGCACCTAGAGCTTTGGAGAGCTTCTGTTCAACCATCTCAAACTCTCTGCTTGAGCGGTAATGGCACGATCATCAGCATAGATGAAGCTCTCTGTCCCTTCTGGCAGCGGCTGGTCATTTGTGTAGATGTTGAACATGGATGGGGCAAGCACGCTCCCCCGAGGCAGGCCGTTCTTCTGTTTCCGCCATCTGCTTCTCTGGCCCTGGAACTCAACAAAGAAGCTCCTGTTTTGTAGCAGGTTTCCTATGAGGCGGGTGAGGTGGTCATCCTAATTAATGATTCTGATTCTGATTCCTTCCATAGTTAGACACCATTGATTGAGATACTTTGATGGTGATTTTCCTGCATGGAAAACGGGGGTTGGACTAGATGGGCCCTGCAGTCTTGTCCAACTCTATTATTTTATAATTGTATGTTTATAAGGTGCATTTTGGTTTCTAAAGTGCGCCCCACCTGTCGAGGGAGAAGTGGGGCCTCTTGGGAAGGAACGTGCCCAGTTCTTCCCTCTGACCGACTCTTGCTTGCTTCTTCCCTTCTTTATTCCCAGGATCGTCCTGCTTCAGCGACCTCTTCTTCTCCCGGGAGCCTCAGGACACAACGGTGCTGTCCCGGCGGGAGGGAGTGCTGCTGGAGTGCCAGGCCAGGGGCGAGCCCCCCATCTCGGTCTCCTGGCTGCGCAATGGAGCCAAGGTGCTGCCCAGCGAGAGGCTACGCCCGCTGCCCAATGGCTCGCTCCTGGTGACCGAGGCCCACGAGGGCGCCTACCAGTGCCTGGCCCTCAACCAGCACGGCGCCATCCTCAGCCGCAAGGCCCTGCTCACCCTGGCCAGTAAGTGACCCGCGGGCAGACCAGAGGGAGGAGGGATTGCCGTTACACCATGTCACACTATGACTTTTGTTCCCGTGTTATCAGTATCATTCATAATTGGTTCTATCATAAAAACATGGAAGAAAGTGTATTACACTGCAAAAAAAAAACCAATCTGGAAACTAGAGAGTGAAAACCAGATGTTTATTCATCACGTAATAGTCACATTAAATTTTTTGATTAAAAAAAAGATTTGAAAGTGCGACTATTGTGCAGTAAAATATGGTAATTCACACATAAAATAGTCTCCAATTCTCTTGTCTGCCAGGATCTGATCCAAAGACAAGATAAACAGAGAATGAAAACCAGATGTTTATTCATCACGTAATAGTCGCATTAAATTTTTTGATTAAAAAAAAAGATCTGAAAGTGCGACTATTGTGCAGTAAAATATGGTAATTCACACATAAAATAGTCTCCAATTCTCTTGTCTGCCAGGATCTGATCCAAAGGCAAGATAAACAGAGAATGAAAACCAGATGTTTATTCATCACGTAATAGTCGCATTAAATTTTTTGATTTAAAAAAAGAGATTTAAAAGTGCAACTATTATGCAATGAAATATGGTAATGCACACATTAAATGAGTTCCTATTCCCTTGTCTGTCAGGATCTGATCCAAAGGCAAGATAAACAGAGAATGAAAGCCAGATGTTTATTCATCACGTAATAGTTGCATTAAATTTTTTGATTTAAAAAAAGAGATTTAAAAGTGCAACTATTATGCAATGAAATATGGTAATGCACACATTAAATGAGTTCCTATTCCCTTGTCTGCCAGGATCTGATCCAAAGGCAAGATAAACAGAGAATGAAAACCAGATGTTTATTCATCACGTAATAGTCGCATTAAATTTTTTGATTAAAAAAAGAAATTTAAAAGTGCGACTATTGTGCAATAAAATATGGTAATTTACACATTAAATGGTCTCCTATTTTCTTGTCTGCCAAGATCTGATCCAAAGGCAAGACAAACAAACCAACCAACAAATAAATAAATAAACAGATAATGTAAACCAGAGTTTTTTTTAATCATGTAATAGTCTCATCCCATTTTTAATTAGCTAGAAATTATAAATGTGACTATTATGCAGTGAAATATGGTAACTCACAAATTAGATGGCCTCCCATTCCCTTGTTTGCCAGGATCCAACCCAAAGGCACGATAATCACACTATGTAACACTATGATTTTTTCCTGGGTTATAAATATAATTTCCTAATTGGTTATATCCTAAAAAATGGAAGAAAGTTTATGAGATTGCAAAAAAATCCTGAAGCCAGAGATTGAAAACCAGATATTTTTTCACCACATAATAGTTGCATTTTATTTTTTGATTTAAAAGAGATTTAAAAGTGAGACTATTATGCAATGAAATATGGCAATGCATACATTAAATGGCCTCCTATTCCCTTGTCTGCCAGGATCTGATCCAAAAGAAAGATAATCATAGAATGAAAACCAGATATTTTTCATCACGTAATAGTCACATTTCCAGTTTTTGTTTTAAAAGAGATTTAAAAGTGCGACCATTACGCAATGAAATATGGTAAGTCACACATTAAATGGCATCCTACCCCCTTTTTCTGCCAGGGTCTGATCCAAAGGCAGGATAATGATGCCGTGTAACACAATAATTTTTGTATTGTCGAAGGCTTTCATGGCCGGAATCACCGTGTTGTTGTAGGTTTTTTTTCGGGCTATATGGCCATGGTCTAGAGGCATTCTCTCCTGACGTTTCGCCTGCATCTATGGCAAGCATCCTCAGAGGGAGTGAGGTCTGTTGGAACTAGGAAAAAAGGTTTATATATCTGTGGAATGACCAGGGAGGGACAAAGGACTCTTGTCTGCTGGAGGTAGGTGTGAATGTTTCAACTGTTGTATATTGTTGTTGTCGGCAGCCTGGGCCTTTGCAAGCCGCATTGAGTCCTTCGGGAGATTTTGTGGGGTATAAATAAAGTTAATAATAATAATAATAATAATAATAATAATAATAATAATAATAACTGACCACCTTGATTAGCATATAGTGGCCTGGCAGTGCCTGGAGCAATCTTTTGTTGAGAGGTGATTAGATGTCCTTGATTGTTTCCTCTCTGTTGTTACGCTGTTCTAATTTTAGAGTTTTTTAATACTGGGAGCCAGATGTTGTTCATTTTCATGGTTTCCTACTTTCTGTTGAAATCGTCCACATGCTTCTTGTGGATTTCAATGGCTTCTCTGTGTAGCCTGACATGGTGGTTGTGAGAGTGGTCCAGCATTGCTGTGTTCTCAGATAATATCCTGTGTCCAGGTTGGTTCCTCAGGTGTTCTGCTATGGCTGACTTCTCTGGTTGAGTTAGTCTGCCGTGCCTTCCATGTTCCTTGATTTGTGGTTGGGCCATGCTGCTGAGTTTGGTGGTCCCTAAGTAGACTTGTCCACAGCTGCATGGTATACCATAGACTCCTTCAGAGGTGAGAGGATCCCTCTTGTCCTTTGCTGAACGTAGCATTGTTGGATTTTCTTGGTGGGTCTGTAGATAGTTTGTATGTTGTGTTTCCTCATCAGATTCCCTCTGTGGTCAGTGGTTCCCTTGATGTCTGGCAAGAACACTTTTCCTCTGGGTGGATCTTCATCTTGACTCTCGTGGCTTGTTCTTGGTCTTGCAGCTCTTCTGATGTCTGAGGTGGAGTCTCCATTGGCCTGGAGAGCCCAGTTGAGGTGGTTCAGTCCATCTTGGAGGAGGTGGGCTTCGCAGATTCTTTTTGCACGGTCTGCCAAGGCTTTAATGGTGCTTCTTTTTTGACTTGGGTGATGGTTGGAGTTTTTATGTAGATATCTATCTGTGTGTGTGGGTTTTCTGTAAATGGTGTGACCCAATTGTTGATCTGGTTTGCGGATGACTAAAAGGACACAGGTTCGAATCCGGGGAGCAGCGTGAGCTTGCTGTCAGCCCAGCTTCTGCCAACCTAGCAGTTCGAAAACATGCAAATGTGAGTAGATCAATAGGTACTGCTCCAGCCGGAAGGTAACAGCGCTCCATGCAGTCATGCCGGCCACATGACCTTGGAGGTGTCTACGGACAACGCTGGCTCTTCGGCTTAGAAATGGAGATGAGCACCACACCCCAGAGTCAGACATGACTGGACTTAATGTCAGGGGACCTTTACCTTTTTATATAGGACATCTAGGAAAGGCCGTCTTCCTTCATTTCCTTTTTCCACAGTGAACTGGATGTTTGGGTGGATGCTGTTAAGATGTTCCAGGAACCTGTTGAGTTCTTCTTCTCCAAGGCTCCAAATGGTGAAGGTGTCATCCACATCTCTGAACCATATGTTTGCGTGGATGCTGTTGAGATGTTCCAGGAACCCGTTGAGTCCTTCTCCTCCATGGCTCCAAAGGGTGAAGGTGTCATCCACATCTCTGAACCATATGTTTGGGTGGATGCTGTTGAGATGTTCCAGGAACCTGTTGAGTTCTTCTTCTCCAAGGCTCCAAATGGTGAAGGTGTCATCCACATCTCTGAACCATATGTTTGGGTGGATGCTGTTGAGATGGTCCAGGAACCTGTTGAGTTCTTCTTCTCCATGGCTCCAAATGGTGAAGGTGTCATCCACATCTCTGAACCATATGTTTGGGTGGATGCTGTTGAGATGTTCCAGGAACCCGTTGAGTCCTTCTCCTCCATGGCTCCAAAGGGAGAAGGTGTCATCCACATCTCTGAACCATATGTTTGGGTGGATGCTGTTGAGATGTTCCAGGAACCCGTTGAGTCCTTCTCCTCCATGGCTCCAAAGGGTGAAGGTGTCATCCACATCTCTGAACCATATGTTTGGGTGGATACTGTTGAGATGGTCCAGGAACCTGTTGAGTTCTTCTCCTCCATGGCTCCAAAGGGTGAAGGTGTCATCCACATCTCTGAACCATATGTTTGGGTGGATACTGTTGAGATGGTCCAGGAACCTGTTGAGTTCTTCTTCTCCATCGCTCCAAAGGGTGAAGGTGTCATCCACATCTCCGAACCATATGTTTGGGTGGATGCTGTTGAGATGTTCCAGGAACCCGTTGAGTCCTTCTCCTCCATGGGTCCAAAGGGAGAAGGTGTCATCCACATCTCTGAACCATATGTTTGGGTGGATACTGTTGAGATGGTCCAGGAACCTGTTGAGTTCTTCTCCTCCATGGCTCCAAAGGGTGAAGGTGTCGTCCACATCTCTGAACCATATGTTTGGGTGGATACTGTTGAGATGGTCCAGGAACCTGTTGAGTTCTTCTTCTCCATCGCTCCAAAGGGTGAAGGTGTCATCCACATCTCTGAACCATATGTTTGGGTGGATGCTGTTGAGATGGTCCAGGAACCTGTTGAGTTCTTCTCCTCCATGGCTCCAAATGGTGAAGGTGTCATCCACATCTCTGAACCATATCGTGGGCTTTTTTGTTGATGTTTCCAGGGTTTCCAGTTTTTCAAAGTGTTCCATGTAGAAATGAGCTATGACCGGGCTGAGGGGGTTCCCCATAGCTACCCCATCTTTCTGTTCATAGAACTCACTATCCCACTGGAAGTAGCTGGTGGTGAGGCCATGGGGAAACAGAGCTGTGATGCCTTCTGGGAACCTCTGGTGATGAGTGCCATGGTGTCTGTTACCAGGACCATGGTCAATAGAGACACCACATCGAAGCTGATCCGTTTGTCGTTGGTCTTTAGCTTGAGATGGCTGATTTTTTCTATGAAGTGGGCCGAGTCCTTGATGTCGTGTGTGGTGAGCCCAATATGGCTTTGTAAGTGTGCAGCAAGACATTTTACTAAGTCGTCCGTGGGGGATCCAATGGCACTCACGATGGGTCTGAGTGGGGTGGATACACAGAGAAGCCACTGAAATCCACAAGAAGCATCTGGACAATTTCAACAGAAAGGAAGAGACCATGAAAATGAACAAAATCTGGCTACCAGCATTAAAAAACTCTAAAATTGCAACAGCACA